TGGTTTGTTTTTGTTAAAATTTTTACCACATTTCTTCTTTATTTACATTGATGAGCCAAAACATTAACACCATCTTGACATTTTTCAGTGAACTCGTCTTGATGACGTGGAGGGCATGTAATTAAGTGGGTGTGGTATTTAACTGCTGCTGAAGAAGGTAAGGAATTATTCTTGCATTTATTTTTCTGAGTGATGGGCAAAGCTACTGATCTAAGGGAATTTGATAGAGAGCAGATTGTAATGGCCCGAAGACTCAGAACAAGTATCTCCAAAACTTCATGACTGGTAGGTTGTTCACGATCTGCCGTTGTTAGTATTTATGCAAAGTGGATAAATAATGGTGAAACCAGCAGTAAACACCAAGGTGTTGGACATCCACTCATCATCAAAGAAAAAGGATATCAGAAATTTCCTGCTTGGTGCAGCAATATTGGTGCCAGATAGTGGCTCAACTGAGAACCCAATATAGTGCAGGTTCAAGGTGCAAATGTTTCGGTACGGACCAAGTTCAGCAGGCACGCCCACGCCAAGCCTAATCGGTGCCATCGTGCAAATGTCTAGCGAGTGCCTTTATGCAGTGATGATATTAAAGGGACATTGCTTATGGTTAACATTTAAAATGAAGCATTATTAGCATAATAATGTGAAAAAACCCCAAAAAGTACATTTTATCTTTTAATTTGTCTAAATATGCAAAAGTTTTATGCTTTGTTAAAACCCACACTCAAACATATATATTGAAGAATTATACATATATTTATGTTATAAAAAGCCGCCCAACCGGTATAGTGGTTAGTGTTGCTGACTGCCGTGCCAAAGGATCCGGGTTCAAATTTCGGAGAAGGCATGGATGTTTGTAAATGTATTGTGTCCATGCGGCATGGGGGCACTCTAAATATGAGAGGCAAAATTCCTCTCGAAAGGTCAGTGGTAGGGGAAGAGGGGTGGAAGACACTCGAACCCGTCTCCCAGAATGCTCTCCATCAAAATTGGGGGCGAAACTGAGCTAAATCGCTCTGTCACCTGTGAGGTGCTCAAGGTTGTTGCCAACGACAAGCGTATCTTGCTTTCCTTGCCACGAGGAATTTTGTGAGCTTGGGATGACTATAGGTTAGACACATGAGCATTAGTCAGCAACAACAACAAAATGTTATGAAAACTCAACACTGTGAGAGAAGTGAAATAATACACTAAACGCATTGGATAGCAGATATATTGCTGAACATCTTTAAACATTAGTATCTTTAAATTAAAAACAAATTAATTTAGATGTCTAATAAGTTTGCATTGAATTGTTTTTCGCAGCGTAGTTTACGACTAGGTTCAAATTGTGATTTCAGCAGAGCATAAGAAATGCTCTACCGCTGATATCTAGGGATATATCCAAAATTCTTTTTTGCACACCGCTATGTTATTGACAACGATGTAGTTTAGAGTTTCAACTGGCAATGCTACATTACCTCCAAACATTTGCAAAAACAGCAGAAGATCTATAGTATTTATATTGCTTTGATTTTTATCAGTTGATGCTTTTTGCAGTTTTTGGCATAAGTTGAGCCGACTTGTAAATATATGTGAACAAAAATATGTGATGCCGATGCGTATGTAGGGGTACAGGCCGGCGCCGTAGACGTGATTGACAAATTGCTTAGTCCTTGTTTTGTGTCTAGTGTTGCAATCTTAGTAATTTGTGCAACATTTATCTTTTTTGTGATTTTTTTTGGGTGGGGGTGATTGATAGTTGTTATTGTTGTTCTACATAAAAAAGGTAAGTGCAGTTACATATTATGTTAAACTTAGGTTAGCTTTTTAATTCAGAAAAGTGACGATTTGAGCATAATTACTCAGAATTCCCCCCCCCCATGAACCATTTGTTTATTAAACTAAAAATTATTATGTTTTGAGAATAACAGATTGACATACTTACAGAGGACCACTGAATTTAAAATATATCTTTTTGAGATTTGAAGAATAAAATACACAAGGTATTCTGAAATCAAAAATTGGCCATTTTTCTATTTTCAGCTATATGGAAAATTGAAGGAAAATGTTCCGTTATTTCATTATGTCTTAAATACATACTTTAAATTTGATTTATTTACTTTACTAAACAAAAGAGTACCACTACCTCCTTGAATTATTTGCTATTGATCTAATTGTTCATATATTTTCCAAGCAATGGTTTAAGATATACTCAGTTTTTCAGAAGTAAAGCAAAATATTTCAAACAGTGACTTTTCGAATGTTAAGAAGTCCGAGTTCTTAAGAAGAAATGATTTACGCAGTAGTTCTTATAATAGTTATTTTCTACTTTTATTTTTACTTCCACTTTTTCTGTTTTTTATTTTCCCCAGATGTCGGAAGAAAACCAGAAAAAACTGTCTGAGGATCAGAATGCGATGAAAAAAAAGAAAGTGACAGGAAGACTTAATAAACCAAAACTTTAAAATTACTTGGTTTTTCCAAAACCCAGAGAATACCCAAGCTGATGCTACTAGTACTAGTTGTCCATCAATGTCTCAGCTGCCATTGAAATTGCCAAAAGAAACTAATAATCAGAAAGAGTTAGTGTTTTCACCCGAGAATAACCTTGAACTTCAATGCAGCTGGTCTAAAAAACACAGAAATACTAGTGAAATCTACACTTTCCGCAGTAGATATGTATTTTCCTGTGCCTGATGATTCCGGATTATGCCCAAGTCCATTATTGCTATCCCAAATGGTCCTGGATATCCTGGTTTCAAGTTTTGGTTTCTCAAAAGACAAAAAATGGACGTAAATTTTTTTAGATGTACTTTTGTCGAATCTTGCCAAACTACGAAAGACTTAAAAGGTTGCTAAATTCTGTTGGAAAAAATTATGTTTATTGTTTTTGTAGCAAAATTTTTAACAGTTTTAACAATGCAAAACTGAGTATTCTGAATTTAATGAATGGAACCACTTAAATGAGCACTTAAAATTTCATGAAAAAAATAAAATGCATTTCCAAAATCTACATCTTTGGTCCGATTTCTTAGAACGATTACGAAAGAATAAATCTGTTGATTCGGAATTTCAAAATTTATTTAAAAAAATAGACTAAGCATTGGCGCGATGTTATTGAAAGAATTATCTACACCATTCAGCCAAACAAAACTTAGCCTTCCGTGGTTCCAGTAACAAGTTATTTGAAAGAAGAAATGATTACAAAATTTGACCCCTATCATGTCTGTATATATTAATAATATCCAAATTTTAAAAAAATGCTTCTTTACCTTGAAGATAAAATTCGAAATGAAACAATTAGCTTATTAAGGGATAATATAAAGCAAAATATTTTAAGTAAGGTCAAACAGGCAAAGTATTTTTCTATTTTACTTGATTGTATCCCTGATGCCAGATATCAAGAGCGGATATTAATTTGTATGAGGTATCTTAATTTAGAAAATACAGGCATGAGTATTGAGGAAAGGTTTTAGGATTTTGCTGTTACAACTGATACGACTGATGAAGGACGAACAACATTCTTATTAAAGAATTAAGAGGATAATGGTTTAGATATTAGTAATTTATGTGGCCAAAATTACGGCAATGGTTCAAACATGAGAGGTTAACAGTTTTCGAGTAATTATGCTCAAATCATTGCTTTTCCGAATTAAAAAGTTAACCTAAGTTTAACATAATATGGAACTGCACTTACCTTTTCTTTATGTAAAAAAAAAAATTACAACAAGCAATCACAAAAAAGATAAATGTTGCAACAAATTACTACTATTGCAGCAGTAGATACAAAATAAGGATTAAGCAATTTGTCGAATACCTCTATCGTTACATACACATGGACATCATGTATTTTCACATTCAAATAAGACAGAAGAGAACACCAGAGATGAGCTCCTGCCCTGGTTATAACTTTCGGTCAAATAAGACAGTGTGCTAGGAAGAAGGGGCACTCGAATCTGGCAATCTCGAGGCTGCCTTAACACAGTTAAACATCTTTCGAGATTCAAGAGGCCGTTAACCTATTGGTCGAGCCGACGAGCTAAGCCTAAGCTGAGTCGATAGGAATACTCAGCAACTCACATTCTACGTCCCTGTTCTGGAGGGATGGTAAAAAATCTGCTATCAACAAGGGCCCCACCCCAGACAGCAGAACAAAGTCATTTAAACACTCAGAGAGACCGGGCCACCAATCCGGCCTGCTAACACTATATCATTGTATATAGATATCGGCTTTAGGAGCCCCCAGGAGGGAACAAAGTAAGGATATGAATATGTAGTTTTGAGCCTCCAGGCGCCCACTGGAAAACACAATCAGTTTAAAGGCTCGTTGAATTCGTCAACTCCAACATCGCCAATAATCTTCCCAACTGGAAATGGAATCTTCACACAGGGCAACGCTCTATGTAACAAGGTCCGAATTATGAGTGGTTCGAGGAGCACAAGGATGAATTCCAATTAATGCCCCGGCCACCTAACTTGCTATATCTTAACCTGATAGAGCACATTTGGGATGTCATGGAGTGGCAGCTCAGAGCTCAAATATCACTATGTTAGAATATCTCAACTTTGCATGACTGCTGTTTAGACATTTGGTACAACCTGTCTTCAGTTATCCACCAAGAACTTGGCAAGGCAAGTAGCAGCTGTTTTGCAGGCCAATGATTGCGCAACTCGTTATTGAGTAGATGGTTTTAATGTTTTGGCTCTTCAGTGTATATTTGCTTATCCAAAGAAAAATGCCGTAAAGAGCACCTAATTTGTTCAACTTTAAATCCACTTCCTTTTATTTGCTAATTCAAAATTGGAACTTTTGCATTTATAATTCAGGTCTTCCATGTAAATTAATTCAAGTTGTTGATACTTTATATTTGTAATGTAAACTGATTGTAGTTTAATTTTTGCAAGACATGTACATATCTGAAGTGAATCTTAATACGTGTTTATCATGTAGTATTTCAAGTGTATATGTATTCTTATTTGCATACTTCTGTTTAAAGTAAAATCATATTTAATTTTAGTTGTCATCAATGTTCCCAAGTTCGCTATTGTAGCCAAAGCTGTGTTGATCAGTCATGGGAAAAATATCACAAATGGGAATGTGGAAATCTAGATTTGCTTCACTCTGTAAGTGTGTTTTTATAATGTTTTAGGATAAGCATCACTCGTTTTTTATTCTTTGGAAATGTAGCTGATTATGTTATGTACCCTGTAAATGTAAAAAATGTGTTGCTATGTAGTATGTTATGTATGTAAATGTATTCTGATCAAATACATCAGTTTTCTGCTAATCATGTATTCTAATTCAAGTTAAGATATAAATAAATTATATTATTTATAAACTAAAAATATTTATTAATATGTCATAAGCAGTTGAAGATGTAAGTAAACATTAAGCAACAGTGATCTTGGAGTACTGGTAGGAAAATCAATGACTGTTTAATATCTTTTGTATAAATCTTGAGATTTAATCTCACAAATATGAAATGAATATTAAGAAAAAGACTTATTTTTACTGTACTTTTTTTTAAACATAGGTTGGTATTGCACACCTCAGCTGCAGGGTTTTGTTGGTGACTGGGCTAGATCACCTTCAAGGTAAAGAATAAACTAAGAAAATATTTATGTCTGATACTGACATTTAAATTTTTGTTAAAACTTTAGGCAAGGACATTGTTGAATTAATTGAAGCTCAGTTATTAAAAGTAAATTTTAATATATATATATATATTTTGTAGATATGATCCTAATTTGTTATTTTAGTCCTAGTTTTGTTTCAGTATTCTTTTTTTGTATGTCTAAGTAGTATATTTTTTATCATTTGATTATTTATTCATTGAATTTGGAATTGTATAAATGTTGTATGTACAAAGAAAAATATGAAATAAATTTGTTTAATTAAAATATGATGGAAGTCCAGTAACCTGTACACATTGCAAGGGTTGTGCTGATTAACAAATTTTTCAGATTATAATAGGCCATGTCTTTCTGAGTTTTGTTTCCATTTTTCCTTTTATAACTTTTATATTAGATCTAGATTGTTTGCACATAAATGCATAACTAAAACACACTCATTTTAAGAATAGTGTCATCAGTGTTTACTGAAATAAAGCTCTGATGTTTTTTAAATATTTATTTGCAAAATAAATCATCTTGGTTCAAGGAAAAAACTTAAAAGTTTTCGAGGAAACAGTATAAACATGTCCAATATCTGCCACTGAAATTTCTCCTGAAGTGATTTGCTTCTGTTTTGATAAATGCTTATTGTGTGCATGCACAGCTGGATTAATAATGCTGCAAGTGCTAAAACTGAATTTTAGAGTAATTAAAATAAAATTTGAGAGCCTCTTTTCTTTATTATGCTTTCAATTTTTAATGCAGAAAGTTCTTTACAGTTTCTATTTTCAAGAATCATCCTATATTCAAAGCTTATGTAAATAAGCTTGCCCATTGTGCAGAATGTAAACACTAAGCAGTGCATTTTAATTTGAAGACAACATCTGAAAAGTTGTGGGCAAATATGTTTTTGGCACAGTTTTATATAATTTTAAAATTTATTATCCACGTTAATTCAGAATTAATTTTAAAAGAGTAGAATATTCACTCAGTGAGGATTTATATAAACAAAAGTGTTTGCTGATATTCAAGATTTTAGTTTAATATAAAGAAAGTGCTGATGTGGAAATTGCTTGTTTTAATAATAAGATAATTCTTTGCCTTTTTCAATCAAAATTTGTTATAAATATAGTGATTTTATGTTTAACAAGTTTATTTTCATATACATATAAGAATAGAAATATGCGTAGAAGGAAAACCATACTGAAAGTTCTTGGGGGGGGGGAACATTTTTTTGCAGCATTTCAATTTGAATGCAGATTGCAATCATTAATGTGAAGTACTCACAAATTAGATTTCTATTATAATGTTAATGGCCGCTTGCCAGCAAAAAGTATATTGTATGTTTCATGGATATCATGATTAACCTTTTCCCCAAAGCTAGGACATATGTGTCCCAAACTAAGTATACAGCAACTAGGGGCTCGGAACAATTTGTCATTAGTGGCAGGGGTAGGAATTCTAGCACTTGAGGCTTGATGACTATTTTATGACACCCAGTAGAGTGCGTTCTTTTGTGGGATTTCGCTAATGGATTGGGGAAAATTGTCCGTGTTTTGAATTGACATGTCTTGTTGGCAAATTTGGTATCTTCTAGGAAATATTTTGTTGAGAGGAGAAAATAAAAAGAATAATTTGTTACTTCGATTCATACGCATTTGCGTTTTCAGGTTTTTTCCTATGCAAATACGGCTTGGAGGTCAAATATCAAAGAAAAAAAATTTTTTTTGAAGTTCAGCTGCTAAAATTCTTCGGAAATTATTTTAAAAGCTTGAATGTTTTTAAAAATGCATAATTTTATTCAGTTATTTTTGATTAAATTCTTTTTAATTTGGTTTCAATTCGAATTTGAATTTTCTTTTGTTTCATTCTTTTTATAAGTGTTTTTATCACTTTATTCTAATTTTTAATGTGCATTTTAAGGCTGTGTAATAAATATAAATGTTTCAGGTGATGAAAATTTATTTTAATGTTATTTCTAAATGGCATACATTTCACGACTACTGCTTACTTGAGTGAAATTTTGGTTTGTCTGTTCTAAATGATAACTAGCGGTCTTTAATCTGGATTCAAATTCCGATGAACAGATTGACTGCATGAACTTTTCTTGTTCTCTCACATATATAAGGTACATCAGCCAATTTCCTTTGAAGATGCTCCACGATAGCCCCTTTCGCTTAGGTAGATAACACTTTCTTTAAACCGACAAGTAAAAATAAAATTATATTCGAAATAAGAAAGCTAAACTTGTGAGCATTTCATAACTATGTTTAGAAACTCTTCCTTTTATGAATAATTTTGATGACAAAATGAATTTTAATTGTGCGACAAATGAAATACAAATTTTTACTGAAGCAATTATTATGGAACATTTTTTAATTCAAAATTTAAAAAAGTTTCAACTTATTAATTTATCCGTTGTTATATGTTTGCGTCTATAATGTCATATCTATATCGATTCGTTCAAAAGTTAGATACCCTTTAGGTTAATTGAATATGGGAAAGCACACGGAGGCTGCCTACCTAAAGAAAAAGATGCCTTCGTGGAGATCTTTTAGAGGAAATTACTCATATTTACGTTTTACATGGGGGAAACAACGAAAACCGACCATGTGGTCATCTCGATCGCCTGATGTCGAACTAACAGCATTCAGCGGCCTTAACCACTCAGTTGCTAGTAGTGTTCAAAAAGTAATTAATTTTGCATGAGAATTGTGTTTTTAGAGGGAATGAAATAAGATATTGGAATACTAAGCATGTATACAGGAATTCAGATGTGTATTACTTTTTAGTTCCCTGAATTTAATTCTCAGTGCGAATCTTCATTAATATTCATCAACTCAGTACGAATCATCATTCCCAGCTTCATTACTCCCAAAGAAAGCAATTGTAAATAGCTTGAAATCTGAAAATTTCGTATAACAATTTGATACCTCAAAGGTGATTTTAGCATTCTGGAAATGTAGATCATAAAAAAAACTGAAGAAATATTTCGCTATTCGACAAAGATGTTTACTTTCTGAAATATCAATGTGTTCCTGTATATGCAATTTCGCAGTCAAAGAAAAAAAAATGGTGTAGCAACATAAATCATCGAACAACTATCATACAAAGTAATATCTTACATTGCTAAGTGAAAAAACTAAATTTTTGTTACTGAATACATAAAAACTCAACAAGGATTTTATTTTCTAAAGCTCCAGGGTTTGCATGTGCATTTCTTTCTTGAACCAAAAACTATGAAGCAGTTAAAAAAGATTAAACAACTTATATGTCTGATGTAAAGGCAGATCAACTCTGGGACTGCTTTTTGCAATGCCACATGGAAGAAAAATAAATAAAAAATTTCTTGGATCATGCATCGTAAATTTTTAGTGCAGTACAAACGCAGTGACCAATTTCTATTTCTCCAGAAATGAATATTACCAGAGGTGTAAAAGTAATAACACTCATTTTGGAATCCGGAAATGCTTTTTAGTAAAGTTTTAGTTTCTTTGTAGTAAATAAACTCTATTTAATTTGCTCTTCAACATCAGAATAATAATACTATTAAAAATGAAAATGTATATATTGTTTGCAGGAAATGTTTGAATATTCTATCTCACTGAACTTTCAATAGGATGACAAGTGAATATATTTAACTTCAATTGCTTCGCTTATTTTTTTAGTACATAATCTACATGCAAGTTTAAAAAGCTATTTTAATCATAAAATGGAACACTCTTTAGAACAAAATTTTCTAGTTGTAACATACATTTCATCTGAAGATAAAATAATATTTTTTTTTTTTTTTTCTCTTGGGAAACTGCATTCCTCTACCTGCAGTGTGAAAGCGATTAGAGTGCATCCCGCATTGTAACGCCTAGAGCATTGGAATTGGATTGAAAGGAAATCTGATTGTTAGTCCTCAAGACTCAATTCAATAATTTTTCTCCCTTTCCATAACCACTGAGCCAAGAGCCTCCGTTGAAGGTACACAACTGTTTTTCGAGCTGATGCGAAAAGCTTAACCATAATGATGTTTCAATAAAGCAATAAGAATTCTAGTTTGTGGATTAGTATTTAATTGTTTTAAATAAAATATGTTATTTACATATGTTTTAAATATGTTAAAATGCTGTAGAACTACAAGGATATATGCCTTTCTGTTCAGAATTTTCTATGGAAAACTAGCCGAAATTTAGTAATGCAAAGAATATTATAAAAACCGCTAATATTCTATACTACAAAAAGCATTCTCTTTATCAGGATTGAGATAAATATGCACATTTTGTGGCTTTAACCAATTTAGTCACTGTGGGCTTGTTTTATAATTTTGGATTTATTCTAATGTTTGTCCCAAATAAATAGGCACTATCCCAATTAACTAATGGTTATAGTTTCATAATTTTATATCATGATTTTTAAAGATGTATAAAAATTAAAATGTATATATTTATGTGAAGTTACCTGTCTCTTTCTTTTTTTTTTTTTTTCCTTCTAAGCATATTCATTTAATATATATGGGTATTTTGTTTAGAATTACGTGAGGAGTTGACCAAATCAATGAATTCCGTATACCCATTTGATTTCCCAGATGGAAGGTATCGAAGCAATTACTTTTCTGTATATCATTTAGTGACACATGTAGAAGATATGAATGTTGAAGATACTTTTCAGTATGCATTAGTAAGTATTTTGTAAATTTGGTTTAATTTATCATGATGAAAATGTTCTGCAGTTTTGAAATACTGAATTGACAGTAGTGCAACTACCATATGTATTTGCATATAAGTCAATCTATAAACCTTCCAAAAACTGTGAATTTCAACTTATAGCACCTTAAAAAAATGCAGCAGTTAATTTTTTAATGTAATTTTAGATATAAGTAACCAGATTATATAGGTTATTATTATAGCTCTGGATGTAATTTCATAAAAGCAAAATGTTAGGTTTAAAACAAAAAGTTATATTTATTATAAATTAACTTTATAAAATGAGTAGAATGTAAACTTTATTTGTATGTGATTCACCACTTTTAGTTAGTTATTTCTTAAATGTAAATGTTATTCACCACTAGTGATGTAGTATGCGATTCATCGCTTTCAGTTAGTTATTTCTTAAATAGTGTCACTAAAATGCTCTTTTTAAACATGAAAATTAAAATAATAATAATAATAATAATAATAATGCAGAATACATAAAAAATTATTCTATTAATTAATTTAATGACCTATTAAATTTAAAAGTATTCCTTTTATGAGTCATTTCGACATATACTTAATGAATGTTGTGCAGCACAGCCAAAAAATAGTTATTACTTTTATTAATGGATTTCCACTGTGGTTCTGGAAGATAATGTGGAAGCATTTATGGTTTGGTGCTCTGTGTATTATGTAGAATCTTTAATTTCCAAATCCATCAGCTTAAGTTTTGTTTTAGTATTTGTACAATTTTCAGGTTTGACAAATTTCTTGTCAGTCCTGCAGATTGTCCTAGTACTAATGGACTGCATACTACTGAAAAAAATAATGTAAATGACAACCAATTTTAGTAACTTTATCTAAAAATAAATGAATAACTAAAAATGATGCATCACATACTACATCATTACCAATCGTATATTAGCAAAGAAATGAAAAGTAATCATCATTCAGAATTTTGTCTTCTTTTATCATTGAAGCCTTATTCTCTATTTTGTCATATGAGGGATCCCAAACATTCAGTGCAGATTTTTCAAATTACAGTTGTATGTCGAATACTATAAAATTTCATAAGCCACATAGTAAAATGCAGCATCAGCTTATATGTGAATATATGACATCTGAGACAAAGAATTCATTTCATGATTCTAATCATCTTTTGGAGTAACTAATTTTAATTCTGAAAAATCCCTTTTCTATGTGTACTGTAGGTTTAATTTGAAAAGCCATAGAAATATTAAAGAATAAAATGACGTCTTCCATATACGTGACAAACATTTATTTAAGCTATGAAGACGTTGAACAGCAGAGAAGAAACATGATATTATACAGCGCTTAGCATTTCTCGCTTACATGTGATACACACCATTGACTTTGGCTAACTGCGTAGAAAAGTATTACGCAGCAGAGAACTTGCTTATCATGTGCATGTGCTAGTTGAATCAACGGCGGTTGCCAACATACCCCCTTTCGATGCTTATTCTCCTATTCCTGAAAAGTAAAAGAAAATGCATATTAAACAGTATTCAATCCTATAATTGTACAACACTTTTGATGTTTAACTGGAGTCAGGAGGTTTGGTTAACACATCAGCTCTCCATTTCACTGGTAGTTATGTACTGCACATCTATCAATTCACCACGTTCACATACTTCATGCACAAAATGATGGCAAATGTCTATGTGCTTTGTACGGGAGTGAAACACTGAGTTCTTCGGTAATTTTCTGAGCTCCTTGATTGTCGCAGTATATTGTTGTTGGGTTTTCTAGTGTTGTAACTCCAGTTCTTTCAGGAAATGACATAGGTAGACGGTTTCTTTGGCGGCCTCAGACAAAGCCATATATTCCGCCTCCGTTGAAGATAGAGCTACTGCGTTGTTTTCATGATTCCCAGGTTATGGCTGAACCACTTAATATATATAAAAAACCTGTGTAGGATTTTCTATCATCGACATTTGATGCCCAATCTGCATCCACAAAGCCTATGAGTGGTTTTCCTGTTTTCGTATAAGTTAGTCCTTGATCTTGGGTTCCCTTTAGATATCAAAGTATTCTTTTCGCAGCATGCCAATGTTCTTTTCCGGGATTGTTGTTAAATTGACTTAAGAAATTCATAGCGTATGTGATATCTGGCCTAATAGCTACTGAAAGGTACATCGGTGATCCGATCAGATTTCTAAATGGAACATTTTTCATGTCAGCGATTTCGCTTTTGTTTTTAGGACTCATCTCTTTTGATAATTTTTTGCTATTATCTATAGGTGAAGACACAGATTTAGCATTTTGCATTTTATACCGATTTAAAATATCATCAACGTTTGAGAAATTTTAATTGAACTCTCATTTTGGTAAAATTCTATGCCTAAGCAATAATGTAATTTCTCCAAGTCTTTCATTTTGAAAGCAGAAGCTAAACTATCGTGAATTGTTTCATACGTTTGCTTAGAATCGGTAAAAACGATAACATCGTCTACATAAACGTTATAATAGTTTCACTATTAGACGTCTTTTTAATACAGTCAAAAGTCGTTAATCCGGACTCGTCGGGACTTCGGCGATTCCAAATTATCGATTTTTCCAGATTATAGATCATCAGTTTAAATCTGGTAAGATGGCATGTAGAAATTACAAAATTAAAAATATGAAACCGTAATTTATGAAATAAAGAACAATTATGATCTAAAGGGTATCAAAATTTAAAAAAAGAAAAAGCTTAATATTTATTTGTTTACTTTATTAAACATTTCTTTCAATGTAAGTTGCTTCGTTTTATGTGATAGTACTTTCTCTTTAATTCTATTAAACAGACATAATTTCTTGTTTAGTTACAAAGTTTCGCTGTTCAAGTCCTATAATTGCTGTGTTGAGAATACCGACTAATTTGTCAATCGAAATGTTTTCGTTTTCAATAACCTCTGGGTCACTACTTTCTTGACTATCGGAAGCGAATTATAATGACGAGGAACTTGATTTTAAATCATATCAAAGACGGAGTGCATCGAAGATGAAATACTACACTTTAGTTAGGAATTATAGCCAAATAAAATAAAAACATCTGCCTTGAAGATAAGGATAGTGCTGACAGATCAACTTCCAAATCATTGTGCGCCGAGGCATTCCCCCCGCCGAACTGCGTGAAATTGATAAACAGATTTCGGATTTCGAAACATACTTTCGCTTTGTAGATACAAATTACATATTAGCAAATATATATCGGAAATTCTATTTGACATAATCGAAAGTTCAAGCTTACTTTTATAAATTGCTCTAACAGTCTGCAAAAAATAATAAGCCGGATCCAATTCGAAGATTAAGGAACAAACGCAATCTGCAACATTTCCATTTAATAATGATTAGAAAATCACATTATCTGAATTAAGAGATTTAAATTTCATAGATTTTAATTTTTCATCCAACTTTTTGTACCACTGACGTCCTGACTGTTTAAGACCATATAGTATAATGATCTCTTTAAAAGACACACTTTATCTGAATTAGTTTCATCGCGAAAACCTTCGGGAATTTCCATGTAGATTTCTTCATCTAAATTTCCATTTACATAGGCCATTACAAAATCTAATTGGTAACCTTTGAGATTGTGTTCTACTGCGTAGGCTAAAACTGTTCTTATGGAACTTAATCTAGCAACAGGGGAAAAGTTTTCAGTGAAATCGAGACCAGGGATTTGAGCGCACCCTTTAGCAACTAGCCTAGCTTTGTATTTTTCGATAGTGCCGTCATGATTATATTTTAATTTAAGAACCCATTTACTACCAATAACTTTCTTGTTTTCAGGTCTTTTTACTAATTCCCAAGCCTTTTCTTGAACAAGCGAGTTATATTCTAACAGCATGGCATTATGCCAATTTTCAGCATATGGTCCATTTAATGCTTCTTGCACCGTAGGATTAATGCTTTCCTCAACAACATTTTGAGTTTGTTCATTTTTATTTACAACTGTATAGTGATATTCCTTTTTAGGCCTTCCTGGCAAACCTGTTTTTATTTTCTTGGGTCGACCAGGCCCCCTTTTAATCAGGATAGGAAGCATTGATTCGCTATCTAAATCACTTCCGCTTTCCTTTTCAGCTTCAGAGTGAAGTGGCGACTCGCTACCGTCCAGAGGTGATGATTCATCACAACATGTTTTATTTATAATTTTTTTCCTCCGGAGCGAAAGGCAGATTTATTTCTTGCTCTGAGTCATAACTACAGCAGTTTTCAAACTCATTAATAAATTTTACGTCTCTGCTTATTATCACTTTACGTGCCTCGGGATCCCAAAGTCTATACGCTTTTGATTCATCAGAATAGCCAATAAAAATGCATTCTTTAGATCGAATATCAAATTTGCCTATTCCTGGCCTTTTATTTAGCGAAAATGCTTTTTGGCCAAAGGTTCTGAAGTGAGAGACAGCTGGTACTCTGCCAAACATCACTTCGTAAGGCGTTTTTATTTCGTTTTTAAACCTGGCGTTGGACAGCGATTTCGAATGTAAGCAGCCGTATTGACGGCTTCGGCCCAGAATTTCTGAGGCAGATTGGATTGCAATAACAAACATCGCGCCATTGAAACTAAAGTGCGATTTAATCTTTCGGCGGCGACGCCATTCTGGGCTGGCGTGTAAGGAGTGCTCATTTCGTGTTTTATTCCCGCATCATTAAGAAATTTATTAAAGTCTTTCCCTAAATATTCTAGCCCGTTATCGGTTCGCAGGATTCTGATTTTAGAGTTAAGTTTATTTTCAAAAGATGCTTTAAAATTTTTTGAAAGCTTCTTTAACCTCATCCTTAGATTTCAGAAAATAAACACGAACATATCGAGATTTATCATCGAATAAATGTTGCGAAATAAAATGATCCACCTATTGATTCAGTTCTCATGGGACCACACAAATCAGAATGAATTAGATTCAACAATTCAGTACTTCTATATTCAGATTCTTTGGGAAGAGGGGTTGCGGTTTGTTTACCCTGAATGCATACCTTACAAGTAGAAAGAGAGTCATTTTGAGAAAAAGAAAGACCTCTAACCATGTTATTTATTTGAAGTTTTTTAAGATCATTTTCATTTAAATGGCCAAATCTTATATGCCACTGATCTATTTCTTTAGCAATTGATACAGATTCAAATATTGGCATGACAAAATAAAGATCATTTTCGCGTTTAGCTAAAATTACTGTTTCGTTATTAGAATTAATTATTTGAGCACATTTTTCTTTGAAAATTACTGAAAGATTATTTTCAGTTACTTTAGACACTGAGATTAAATTATTTTTCAAATCAGGTACACACAATACATTTTTGAGTTTGATATTTTCAGTTTTAGAACCTATGCGAACTTTAAATTTAACAGTTCCTTTTCCAATAGCTTTAACAGTTTTATCAGCAGCTAATTTAACATAAGTATCACCTACCTCGTGAATTTCTTGAAACAGTTCCTTGCTGTTACACATATGCGATGTTGCACCACTATCCAGACAAAAAATGTCTTTAGAATTATACTATTAGTTACTATTAGCATGCTACGGCTTTTTCTTGCTCCAGAATTCATTTTTTCTGATTTTCTTCTGCAGACATCGCAGTTTCACTAAGGCGTATTTGCTTTTAGTTTCTTTACTTTTCTTCCTACATTCCGATGCTCTATGCCCATAGATATGGCAGAAGTTGCATCTGTAGTTAACTGGATACTGTCTTCGGTTTGCAGACTTTTCTGGTTTCGGTTTAGGAACCGGTCGTTGAGTATACTTCCGATCTTTTGAATAGAACGCATGTTGTGGTTCAGAAAACGATTGAATCTTTATTTTTGCGAGCGTTAGCTTCTTCCAACAGTTTAATTTTCAGCATTTCTGGAGAAGGCAGTTCATCACGAGATTCGATTGCTATTCGAAAGCTTTCATAAGAGTCCGGTATGCTATATAAAAGCAATATTGTAAGCAAATCATCCGCAATGTTTATTTCCATTTCTTTCAGTTTGTCCACAAGAATGAAAAAATCATTTAGATGAACAGTCATTTGTTTAGAATCACTCATTTTTGTAAAAAGCAATTTTTTTAGAATTGTGGCCTTTCTAGCTGGTCCCTTCGATTCGTAAATAGAATGCAATTTACTCCACAGTTCGTGAGATGTTACACAATTCTTTACTTGTGGAAGTTCACTGGGTAAGATGGATAGGATTATATCCGCTCGTGCTTTTTGGTCAGTAGTTTTCCATTTAGCAAATTCTTCATCACCAGGTTCTGGTTTCGGAATTTTCCCAGTTACATAGTCCCAATGATAATTTTTAATCAGTATTGCTTCCATTTGCAGCTTCCACGTGTCAAAGTTATCCTTGTTTAGCTTCTCAATTGACATAGTAGTAGGCGTCGCCATTTTCATTTCAGTCGACGCAGCTTGGCTTGCCGAAAGAATTTAACAATGGTAGTTGCACTGCACAGTTAAGCGCTATCTGGGCCCATAACCTATGAAGAATAAAATGACGTCTTCTATATACATGACAAACATTTATTTAAACTACGAAGACGTTGAACAGCAGAGTAGAAACATGATATTACACAGCGCTTAGCACTTCTCGCTTACATACAATACTCACCATTGACTTTGGCTAACTGCCTAGAAAAGTATTACGCAGCAGAGAACTTGCTTATCATGCGCATGCGCTAGGGGAATCAACGTCAGTTGCCAACAAATATATTGCTATTTAATACTTTTAAAGGAACTGATTTTGTAAAAAACTAATATATAAATTGGCTGAAATATCTTTTGTAGTACAGGTTATTTGAAACTATAAAATACACTCATGATTTATAGATGTTACCAAATTTTTAAGTATGTATGTGTAGTTGTTTAAGTATAAAAAGGAAAATTTATTAAGTACCATCATGATTGCATTCAAAAGGCAAATTAAGATTAATTTAAGTTTATTCTTTGAAAAAGCATATTGTTTTGTATTGTAAAAAAAGTAAATGATATCTTGATTGATAAGAATGAGATTACTTTGTGCAGTAAACTGATTAATTAAATAATTGATTTAGTAACTCAATCTAATATTTTGTAATGTATTCTAAATGTTTTTAGACTGCTTTGCTGTTACTGATGCTGTTGGATCGATTAAATTATTTTGCAACTTTGGAAAGTCAGACTTTGAGGGAAAGGTTAATTAGCTGTAACTTGAATGCTAAAGTTGCATCTGCTCCTTCCACACCTACTCACAAATCTCGTAGTCCCGTCCATTCACGCCTGTCTGTAAACTCTGTCGAAGAAAATGATATGCCTTCAGGTCCTCCAACAATGGAGCTATTTATTGGCGGTCTACTTCTTCGACATATTTTACAGCTTGTATGCAATGCCAGTGCAATAACTGAATTGCAAACAGTGCCACAACCTGGAGGCACAGGTTCAGTTCTCAATCAGAGGCAAGCAAAAGTGGCCACGGGTATTTTTCCAACAGCTAGTCTCATGAACCATTCGTGCAATCCAACTGTTATTTCCAGGTAAAACATCCTTTGGTTTAAAATATTTTATTCTAATTATATTCAAATTTTGCATTTTTAATAATTGATTTTAAAGGTTATTTCTGAAAACCTAATGAGTGATACCTCTGATTAATAATAAAATGAGTGTTGAGTATGAATTTTATTCATATCATTTGAACATGTTTGCAACTACCATTTTAAATTCACCTCTTTTCTGTTAAGTTCCTTCCCTGTTTTCTCTCTTCCTTCAAGAAAAGAACAGTTTCACAATATAAGCATTTTAAATATTCCCGAATACTTTTTCTTAGCACAATATTATGTTTATTTTAGCGAGAAATTAAAAATATAAACTAAATTTGAAAGTATAACTTAATTTTGTGTAGTAATTTATTAATTTAGCAAAATGCTGTGTAAATTACAGGGTTTTTGTTGTTAGTTTTCTGTTTAAGTGCCCATAAGGAGAGTTTTCAAGAAACAGAAATTTTGAAGTCATGTACAAGATATTAAGTCACTTTTCTAAACTAAGTTTTGGAAACTGAACTTTTTTCATGAAAAGATGGATTGCAGTGGAGATTCTTTCAGATCAATAAAAAGGAAGTTTCAGTATCACATCTTGTTAATGTGATTTTGCTGAATCAATAATTTTCATAATAAATAAGCAGTATGAAAAGTAAAAATTCTCCTGAAAAATTATAAATATATCAGTCATGTATTTTTTCAGAAATTCAGATGCTAAATCCTGTATATACAATGGATCCTCTCATGACCATCACCTTGAAAAGTGGTCATTTCTGAGATTTCACTTATTTCTGAGAATATAGAAAACAACAGCATTGTTAATAATAACATTATAATTTGGTTGATACTATTAAATACATTTATTCAGAAATACTGTAATATCTTTATTTTATTAATTTTACTATCAACCTAAAATATTTCAGATATTGTGGAATTTAAGAAATTTGTCTTAATAGGAAAACTTTATTGTAAAAATTAGCACCAAAAGCAGTTCTTTTCTATTTTTGGAGTAACTGCGGTCAGTTATGCATATTTAAGCTTACAGCTCAAGCATGTAGCGTGTATACATCTGACATTCTATTTTAAATTTCATAAATCTGAAGTAATAAACTTATAAAGAAGGGGCTTAGATTAAGTGGCTTACAAAACATTAAAAAAAAATGTAATTCAGAAACATGATTAAAATCATTGTAAATACTATTAGGTATCTGTCAAAAGTAATTTAGCAGATATGTTCAACAGATGGATATGGTATTAATAAAATGGTTGATTTGCTCTGTGGAGTGTTCAAATTGCTTTAGAAAAGGAAATGAATTAAAAAAGAGAAAAATCAGGTTAGCAAACTTCACTGAATGATTATTTTAATGAGTTCACTGGAGGATAAGTCCACCAGCAGTTGAGCGGTAAAGTTGCTGAACACTGGTAGTTCCTCCATGAAGGCATCCCTCCCCTTAGGCTGATATCCCTTGCATGTTTTGCCATATTAAATAGACCAGTCACTGGATGATTATTTTGAGGAATACATGCTTGAAATTACTTCACAAAACTTATGTATTTTTTATTGGTCTTCCCTTTTCAGTTGAAGTTTGTTTTCTGTATTTTAAAACAGTATTTGCCTAAAATGCTTCAGAGAATTAAGTGCTAGATGAAATCTTTGAGTTTGTTTTGGGAGGAGGGCTATATTATTTGGGATATTAAAGAAATAAATTACAAGTAACAAATTATATTGTAGCCTGTACTAAAAATTACTACTAAAAGTAGAGATAACTGATAAATTAAAAATATGAAGCAAGGCTGTTGGATTAATTAAAATATAAATTTGTAAAACATTAATATGCATGCTTGCTTAAAAATGAAATGAAATAAGAGCAAAAATAAGACTTTTTTTATAGTAAAGGAGTGCATAATAATGAGCGTATTGCCAGAGTCCAAAAATGTAAGAATTATATTGTCTAAAATTGATAGATAATTAGTAATAGTAATAAGTAAGAAAATAAGGAGCAAATTCCTGCCCTGTTGCACAGGATAGGATGGGTCTGAAGGTCTCCCACCTCTGTTCCCATAATAAATTAAAAATAAAGGCAAAATTATATGTAAATCTTAGGGGGACTAAGACTATAAATAAACTGATGTACTGCATTTCTATTTCAGTCCTTCTTTAATGATATTAAAACAGAAAGGCCTTAATAAACTAAATATGTTATGCAAATAAACTATTGCTATTACCAAGAGGTATCTGCTCTAAGATAATAGGACAGTTCCAGAGATGATTAAAATCCTCTGCAACTGTGAGTGGTTATTCCTCTGGAACTGTAAGTGGCTATCTTAAACTAGGGTTCACTGTGTTTTATTTATAGCATCTATATTCTTAAAGCAAGTTTTAATGTTATTTTTATACTTTTCATTTTTCTTAGTGTCCATTTCTTATTAGTGCAAAACTATCTTCTTGCTTCAACCGTTCAGCTGCTGACGTATACAGTACCACGATATTCAGGAATACTTGACCATTAATTAACATAGGCATAATATATTTCCATGGAATGATTTCTTATAAATCATAATTTAAGTTTCATGTACGTTTAGACAATTAATTATATTACATTATATTTCTGAATGTATGAGAAAAAATCTTTCTTTACATCAATCATATAAGACTTGGCTAAACTGATGTGCAAAGAAGGAGCAAGGAATATACATGTTTCATTTTTAGAAATTAAAATGCAATTTTTTGCATGCATTTAGTTCAAACAAGAAAACAATGTAATGAACTAATATAGGAATTCTTTACTAGAAACTAAATGCTTAGTTTCTCTCTCTCTCTCTCTCTCTCTCTATATATATATATATATATATATAAGAAAAGTATAGAAGATTAAATTAACAATGTAAATTTCCTTTCTCTATTCTGAAAATAGTAACCCCTCTCTGCACTGCATCATTTCGAGAAAAATCTATGTCTTATGACTCTTACGTAATTATGATGATGTAAACAGAGCTAAAACTCTTAACAGCCAATAATAACTAATTCAGAAGTCAAACAACAAAAATCAGCGTTAAATTGTTGTTTGACTTCTGAATTAGTATTTATTCGGCGTGTTATTGTGTCTTAATTAGCCAATAATAATTTTACAGCAATATTAACCATCCAATCAGAATGCTTTGAGAACCAAAACTAAGTCAGTGTGACTTGAGATTTCATCCTGAACATTATGCACTTGCTTTCTGTGCTTTGGCCTCTCCGGACTGCAGTTTGTCTGCTTCTTCTTTTTGCTACAAAGTTACCAAAAATGTAAGCCTTTTGGATTTAATCTGTAGTCGCCACCAATTTCCTGGTCATTGCTTCTTCTCCTGAATATATTATATATATATATACATACAGGGTGCACACTACAGTCTGGTACCACCCATTTAACTGCCGAATGGCTGCAGCTGTAATCATAAAAGTGGTGTTCAGGTAAGGTGACTATGCGCTAATAGATGAGAAAACTTTCAGTGCCACCTAGTGGAAAACAGTGGAGTTAGCATCTCTATCTTAGAAACGATATCAGATAGAAAGAAAACGTGAATTACAAAGTTGTAGAGCATCGTCAGTTTAGTACGAAAAGATACCTTATGGACATAAATGCTATGAGCAGAACATTTTAAGCACATTAGTTTGTTCTCAATTTCCAAAACTTTGACATCATGAAATGATCTTAGAAAGAAAATAAACAACCAGTTATCACAAGCTACCTTTATTTTTGATGTTTTAAACTTCTCTCCAACAGCTGAAATGCACATCTGGACCCTTGTTAGAACTTCATGTTGCATGTTGTAGCATAGGGAGTGACACAAGCATCTGTAATATGTCACTGAAGGTCCTGCAATATTTGTGGAGGGATCGCATATACCTGCTGTTTGAGTTATTCGCACAGGAAAAAGTCCATTGCAGTCAGGTCAAATGAATGTGGAGGCCACTCTTCGAAACCATGGTACCCAATTATTCATTCTCCGAATTCCTCCATCACCTATTTCTTCATTTGCGACGTCATGTTGGAACCATCTATCCTGGAGTTGAAGAAACGGCAAATTCTCAATGAATACCGATATTACGTCTTGCAGAAGTTCAAATTTTGTGTGCCCTTTAACATACCCTGGCAAAATATTAAGCCAATTAACATGTTATTATAAATTCCACACCAAACATTAATCAAAAACCATATTTGATGTCAAACGTCAGCATAATTTGATGGATTTTCCAGTGTGTCTAATAATGGGTGTTCTGCTTATTGTATGTTACATTCTGCAAAAAGCATACCACATCTGCCCACACTATACCTGCAAAGAATGTTGGCTGGAGCTCTATCTGATTCAAAGCCAAGTTGATTCTTGACTAAATTGCACCATGCGAAACGTCTTTCAGCATCCCTTCCAGTAATGCCTGATTAGGTGTTGGTCGGTGTGGATAAGCACCTAATTCATTTAAAATTTTTCAAATGGGAGAGGCCACAGTTTTTTTTTTTTTTTTTTTTTTTTTTTTTTTTTTTAAATCTCTGTTGTGTTGCTGTTTGGATATGTCTCATCTCTATCCCTAAACTTTCTTGAGCCAGTGGCTCCCTCTAGTGTGCATCAAGTAATTCACTTATGCAAAATTTTTTCTCATTTCTGCTCACTTTTAGTAATTCTGATGAGGAGGTAAATGGTTTTGAACCATAGGAACTCCGTAATTTTCAAATCATTGGCATTGGATATGTGAGTTGGATTGTTGGAATAGGTTTGAATACATCTCAGTCTTACTGCTGTCTGATCTGTGCTTAAGAGATGGAAACCAATCCCCTCTCCCTTGGAGACAAAACTGTTTTGAGACACTCGGCATATTGATTTGATAAACACTCGGTTTCTGATTTGCTTCAGAAACATTTTCACACAGTGGCATCAACCTTAATGTCTTTAACTTTGTAATTAAGCAAAAATTGGACAGTGGGAAGTTTGCAGTTTGGAAGGAATGTGCAACATCCAGTCTCCTTTTGGTATCATTTATCACTGAATAAGGTTTTCCTATTCTTTGCTCATGATGTTCATTTATTTCACACTAACTAAGCTTTTCACATATTGAACCCATTGGCAAATATTTTTCACATCTTTGAAGCAATTACCAATTTTGGGAACAACAAAAATTTGGACTATTCCAAACTTGGGCTGTAAGAAGAGGGAAGCATTTAGTGTTCTTTGGTCATCATGAATCACTGATGCAGGCTGTTCTAATCTTCGCTCATTAAATTTGATCATTTTATCTTTACTACAGCTTTGAAATCTTAAAACATATTTGCAGATTTTTATTACATCCGTACAACAATCATCATAAATTGCTACCATGTGTCTGTGAATTTCAAGTGGCATGCAACTAATTGTAATATTAAAATGTGTGTCTGAATGATGCTGTATGCATAATTCAGAGTGCTGATCATGATTAACCCGTTCATGACGGTGTATCAATGCTGCAGTACTTAGTGCTCTTACGTGACAGCATGCCATTTAGCGCAACTCCTCTTGGAGACGGCATTCTGTTGCAGTACTACGATCCCACAAGTTGAAGTTTTTTTTTTTTTTTTTTTTTTTTTTTTTTTTTTTTTTAATATAATCATTGATACAGAATATTGAGACATTCTGAAAAAATCTTAATTAAAATCTAAATGAAAAATAAAATATTTGACTCAGTTTGATTAAATATTGTACAAAACTCCTCTAAATCTGTATACCTAAACATATGTAAAAAATAATGAAATATATAATTAAATATTATAGCATAAATCATTCAGAAATGAGATAGTGAGTGATAGTCATTTCATTAGTTCTGAAATATATTTTGAGGTTGGGCTTTATAATTATTACCATTAGAATAATTAATGCTATGAATCCTCTCAAGCATATAGGAGTGAACTTTGTTGAATTTGGAGAAGGTGGTTTTTCTCTCATCTTTATCTTTTTGGTCATTGAAATTATTAGTTTCTTCAACTACTACATTCATTAGATCATCGTTAAAAAAAAGTGAAAAAAATCAATTTCAATAACATAGCTTTGAAATAATTTATTCCTGCAATTCCCATAAATTCATATGGCATCATTACTTAACAGGTGAAGTTCATGATGGGGTATCCAATGTTGTGCTGGGTTGTGAGATGGAGGCAAAACAAGCTTCCAGTTCAATCTCTGACAAAATTTTGGTATCTAAATCACTACCCTCACTTACATCTAGAGTGTCTTCTCTGCCAGAATAGGCACTCATGGGCTCATTTACCATTAAAATATACTCTTCTTCTGTTAAAAGTTTCTTTATCTTAAACATTGCAATCTTAAGTTTAATTCTCTTAACAAATTATTTCTCTTAGTATGATAAAAATGTGCATCTACTATCTAAAGAAAATGCAAACCAAATACAAATGGGAATTCCTAAACTACAGATCCAGTTCTAATCTACCCATAGGGAAAAGCAAAAAATTAATTTGAAGAATCCGGAACTGCTCAATATTTATATCACGAAAAGCCTCTTTTCTGTGCACCAGCTGTGTTTTGTTTACTTTATATCTCCCACTTTTACATCTAAACAAATCACTAGAATCAGAAATTACACTACAGACACAAGGTCAACAATGTGTAAGATCAAACTAATTAATTGTAATGGGCTCAAAGCACCATCTAATTATTTAAAAAAAATTTTTGAAAGAATGTGTATGTTTGAAAGTTCATACATGATACACCCGTCTAGTAGATCAATGTAAGCAGCAATGCACCAGTGCATCACCTGGCTGTTAGTGAAATTTGGGATTAATGCATATATGACACGCCCATCTCCAAGGAGTTTTCAGTTCAACAGCATGTCGTCGCAAATGGGTCAAAGAGCACTTTCACTGAAAAAGGTTAGTGAAGGCCTACTAAGCTAACAATGACATGAAACTAGGCTCAGCTAGACTTGACAGTTGCAGCTATCAAAAGCACATGTAGGTGATTTTTTAACTTATGTACTAGCCAGTCATATGGTAGAAGACCTTATGTATTTAAAAAGTGCAGAAAATCAGTAGTGTAGTTAACAAATTTGTTTGGTATTTTGCTGATTTATTACTTGATTGTTAAAGCTATTTAACTGTTTTTGTAATTTTAGTTTTTATAGGAATGTGCTAATAGTTCGTGCGATTCGGGATGTTGAAACAGGAGAAGAAATTTACAATTGTTATGGTAAGGATTTTGGTCTTGTGAGTTTTAATATTATTGATTAAATGCTTTTGATTTTTAATATTCTATCACATTTAATATATTTTTGATGAAATTTCCTTTTAGGTCCACATTTTCGAAGAATGCCTCGAGATGACAGACAGAGAGCTCTTTTAGAGCAGTATTTCTTTATATGTGAATGTGATGCTTGTGTTAATGAAGATGAGAGAGAACAAAGGTTCCAGGTAGATTTTTTAAACTTATTTTTCAGTGCATAATTTTGGAAGGAATATGTTACGTTTTAGGCTTTATTTATCTTTAATATGTTAGCAAAGAAAACTTGCTTCTATAGTGAGCCTGTGAAACAACTCTCATACACTCAGTACAGTTGGTGAAAGATAACTCCAGAGATATTGCCTGACAGTTATTCAAGAAAAGTAGCATGTTTAATTCCTATTCTAAAATTTGAGAATGACATCAAAATCACCTTGGTTTAATAAATCATGTCAGCAACAAGTTTTGCATATTATTCATTAGTATAGTATTTCTTAGTTGATCGTGAGGAATGGGGAAGTGTATTTGCATTTTGATAAGTAAATCCATGTGTGATCATTATTCAAAATGTACAGAGTATTCTATTTTAAATCGGTACAACTATAAAGTCATACTTTGTTTTATGTAATTTAACTAAGCTAGCATTTATTTATTTATATTGTTACATTATTTTCTTCCTTCACTTTCGTATGGGGTTCGTAGATTTGGAGTGAATAACGACGACACTTGGTGAAGTATCGAAAGACACTTTATTTACCAATATTAATCAGATAGCTCCAAAATCACTTTTACAGTCATCAAACTGTTATAAACACACTGACACGTTCAGCGACACAGCCTTCACAGTGTCAGGCAGTAACGGTGGAGACAGCTTCACTGCAAAGCACCAGAGTACAGCATCCGACTCTGCTTAGTCGTTCTCGTAACTCCACGTACTCTCGAGACTCTCCACGCTACAACTCGCAATGCACTCGATGGAACACAACAGTTATAGCGCTCGACTCAGCACAGTCTAAGACAAAACTCGATGATGCACTAATTCGCGATACACTAAAAGACTCGATGTACTTGACAACCAACTCGGCGCTAGACTCAAGACACTTGCTCAATGGCTGACTATCAACTCGCTAGACGAGGCACACACTAACTGACTGCAGACCAGCAGGGTTTATATACCTTTCGGCTTGTGTTCAAGAACATTCTGGGCTAAACCGGTAAGAATTCGTTCCAGAAGGTTCTCCATCCGTCCATGGTATATCGCCAATTTTGTCACCAAATGGTCGATTTCTCGCCAAATGTGGCAACCCTAAAACTGCTTTGCGGGGAAGCCGTCTTACCGCGCCTGTACATTTTGTAACACTGCCCCCTCCCAGAGACTGCACGTCCTGGGCAGTACAATCCTTGGTCAGAAGCATAATTCCATACAAACAAAAGGCAATAGAACAAACAAATAACATAACTAAAGAAACAAACTCTTACACTACATACAAACTTTACACAGAAACTAGGTAAGAAAACTCATGCACAAGAATTAAGGGTGCCACTAAGAATGAGAAGCACTAAGTACTATGGCCATGTTACGAAATGTACAGGTGCGATAAGATAGCTTTCCCGCAAAGCAATTTTAGAGTTGCTATAAAATGGCAAGGAAAGGCAGGGTTGCCATATTTTGCGACAAATCGCCCATTCGGCAATTAAAATTAACGATATGCATGGACGGAATGGAGAAACCTTTCTGGAATGCATTCTTACTGGTTTAGCCCAGAATGTTCTCGAAAGCTATATAAACCCTGCTAGTCCGCAGTCAGTTAGTGTGTGCCTTGTCTAGCAAGCTGATAGTCAGTCATCGAGCAAGTGTCTCGAAGTGAAGCGCCAAGTTGGTCGTCGAGTGCATCGAGAGAGTCTTTTAGTGTATCGCGAATTAGTGCATCGTCGAGTTTTGTCTTGGACTGTGCTGAGTTGAGAGCTATAACTGTTGTGTTTCGTCGAGTGCATCGCAAGTTGTAGCACGGAGAGTCTCGAGAGTACGTGGAGTTACGAGAACGACCAAGCAGAGTCGAGAGCTGTACTCTGGTGCTTTGCAGTGAAGCTGTCTCCACCGTTATTACCTGACAGTGGGAAGGATGTGTCGTTGAACATGTCAGCGTATTTAAAACAGTTCGACGACTGTAAAAGTAATTTTAGAGCTATCTGATTAATATTGGTAAATATAGTGTGTTTCGATACTTCATCAAGTGTCGTCGTTATTCACTCCAAATCTACGAACCCCGTACGAACGTGAAGGAAGAAAATAACGTAATAGCTGGTGTCAGAAGAAAAACGTAACAATATCCTAAAATTAGCAATATGACCTTTCTTTTATTTCACTGATATTTTCCAATAAAACTTTTTGGAGAACGTCTGGAAGAACAATGAAAACACAATATTTGAATGTTTTACTTCTGATACTAAAATCTTTTTCATAACATTTTTATCTTCCTTTTATTTTCTCTACTTTTCACTAGGCACAAGCATGGAAAACATCAAAAATGCTTCTAATCTTATCATATGGACAGGCAATTATAGAAAAGAATTTTTTTATTAATAAAGAAATTGAAAACTGACAGTTTAAAATATTCATCTAATATGTCTTAATGCATCATACACAGGGCTGGCGCTAGGCATTTCCCCACCTGATGCGATCTCTGTGGATCCTAAATTCTCCTGCCTGGTGCCTTTCTAAATTCTGCTTCCAGTGCCTGTTCTAAATTTTAAAAGTTTTGCCATTTCTAAATTATGTTGCTTGGTGTGTCACTAAATTCTAAAAATTCTGCCACACCAGCTCTGTAACCGAACCAGCTCTGTTACCAGCTCTGTAATCTGTCGGGGATATATATTTCATCTGAATGTTCATATTACTAAAGAAATAAAATTCTATACATTCAAAGAAATAAAATTTTATATACAGCTTTTCTATACATTCTAAATGCATTTAGTTTTTTTAGAAAAACAGAAATCATTAATTAAATCCAAAAATTCTAAATTGAAAAGGAAACGTCGAAGAAAGAAACTGAATACATAAAGAGAGAGAAAGTTATTCTTCAAAGATATGTACAGTTATTATTATGTAAATTACCCAGTTGTTTACAATTTCAGCCTTTACTATAATTTCCCATTTTTGTTTTCTCGCCAGAATGCAGATCACTTAGGCAGTTTTTAAACTGAGGTTTTTGGAGTGTAAGATAAGAGTGTGTTTCTGATCTCCACTTGCTGCCTGCATTAATTCCTGCCAGCTATGTTAATTTGTAATTATTCGTATTTGCATTACTATTGCCGATATTTTAATCTGTTATGACAATAAAGTTACTGAGCCAGCTTAAAATGAAATTAAATTAAATTAAATAGTCTTTGACCACTAGTCCATATTTTTAGTTTGAATTTGACTCTTTTTGTTTAATTACATCATCACGAGGTGTAATTGACATTGTAACAATAAGAACATGCCTTTATATTTCAAGTTCTTTTTAAATAAGAAATGTATTTTAATGTTTGTCTGACTCTGTAGTTATTTTCAAACATAGTGATAATTGGCTTCACATCTGTCGAGGGGGATTTTTGGACTATTTAACTTCAGATCAAGTAAACCCTCATAGGTACATTGTGGAGAGGTTGACAGGTTAGGAGATAAAACACACAGAAACTAGTGAGAACATTGTTTTGCGTATTGAGACAGATTTCCATTTGTTAGAAAAGATGCCTAAAAAGAAGGAAATTGACATAAATTAGCCAAAATGTCTGGGAAGGCTTCAATTTAAAAAGACTTATAAATATTTTGTTGAGTGTTGTTGCTACAAAAGATAAATATTTTCTAGCTTTTAATGTGTATCCTAATATCGTTTAAGAATCAGTGTCATAAATTACATGTATTTTAAACTGTGAAATTTAACTAGATTTTAATAGGGTTCTTTTAACAAATATTGTTAAAAAATAAATAAAATTTAATAAAGTCTTCAGTCCGGTTTCGTCGGGACTTCAGCGATTCCGGATTATTGATTTTTCCGGATTATAGATCATTAGTTTAAATCTGGTAAGATGGCATGCAGAAATTATAAAATTAAAAATATGAAACCGGGATTTATGAAATAAAGAGCAATTATAATATAAAGAGTATCAAAATTTACAAAAAAAGCTTAATATTTATTTGTTTACTTTATTAAACATTTCTTTCAACACGTGCATGCATAAAGCATACATTATGCATAGACAAAATTAGAAAATTGCAACCAGAAAACTATTTTATATGTATTCGTGATATTTATAATGATGAGGAAATTGATTTAAATCATATCAGAGTACATCGAGATGAAACACTACATTTAGTAAGGAATTATAAGCTGAATAAAATAAAAACATCTGCCCTGAAGATGAGGATAGTGCTGACAGATCAACTTCCAGTTCATTGTGCACTGCGACGTCCCTCCCCCTTCCGCAGAGCAGAGTGAAATTGATAAACAGATTTCGGAGTGGTTAGAGAAACAAATCACCTCTCTGTCACTTTCTCCATGCCTTTATCCATTTTTTGCAGCAGTTCCACTTTTTGTTTAATAGACATCAAAACATGCTTTCGCTTTATAGATCCTTTGGCAGCTCCAGAATTGGAAACTCTTTTTAACATAATCGAAAGTTCAAGCTTACTTTTTGTAAAATTGCTCTAACAGTCTGCAAAAAATAATAAGCCAAATCCAATTAGAAGATTGGGCCCACCAGCGGCCGAGCGGTAATGTCGCTGAACACTGGTAGTTCGGTCCGAGGTTCGAATCCCGCGAACGGGCTGGCTGCATGGGCGTTTTCGTGGTTTCCCCATGTGTAACGTGTATACGAGCCAGTTTCCCTTAGAAAGTCCTTCACGAAAGGCATCCCTCCTCTTAGGCAGATAGCCCTCGTGTGCTTTGCCATAATTAAATACACCAACCAACACCAACACCAATTAGAAGATTAAGGAACAACGCAATCTGCAACATTAACTGAAATAGATAATTAGATAATTTTAGCCTAGCTTATACCGTCCATTATACATTAAACGCATTATGCGTTTATGCATGCGCAGAAAGTTTGCAGCTTTTAGGTCCGGATTATGGACGTCCAGATTAAAGACTTTATACTGTAGTGGCCATGTAAATCCATAATGACTAAGGTTATCTAATACCTAATT